ATCTATGTGAATGTAACAGAATACTATTGTGCCATAATAAATATAAAAAGAATGTTTTCAAAGAACCCTTAGAAGATTTGTAGGAACTGATACAGATGGAGTGAACAGGACCAGGAGAATGATTTATACGATAACAACAGCATTGTAAAGACAACCTTGAAAGACTGAAGAACCCTGATCAATGCAATGACCAGCCACAGTTCCAGGGGATCAATGATGAAGTAAATTACTTGACCCAGACAGATGCAGAAGGAGACTTATTTTTGGACATGGCCAACATGAGAATTTGTTTTGCTTGACAATGCATATTTGCTTTTTAAAAAAGGGTTTATTTTTTCTTCTTTTCAAAGAGGAGGGGAAGAGGTGAAAGGGAGAAAATGAATGCTTGTTAATTTTTTTTTAAATGCAAAAATAAAAAGAAGAAAAAACCTCAATCTACTGAAGGAGGGATGTGGAGGAAGGGTTAAGGGTTAGGATATATATTTTTTTTTTGAAAAGTAAAAATTGACCCTATTTCTAGACATTTAGAAGGAGACTCCACTTCCTCTCCTATTATTATTATTGTTGTTGTTGTTGTTATTGGTTTCTGACTTTTTATAGCACCTGACAGTTTACAAAGCATTTTGCAGCCATTACTTAACTTGATCCTTACAACAATCCTGTGACATAGGTAATGTTGAAGTAAGTAAACCAAGTCAGTTTGTTCTGTAGTGATCAGATACATTAGAAATAATATTTTATGAGAAAACATAGAATTATAAAAAATATTCAAACAAAGAGCTGTTGCCCAGCCCTTCTCTATCAACAAATGTCCCACCTTGATATAAGAAGTCTGGATCTTACATGGTCATGAAAATTCTCATGGAAAGCTAGTAGTTCATAAACTTAGAGGCCTACTTAATTTCTATTTAAACCTTGTGTATTACTTAATTTTAATATAGCTATAAATTTGAAATCCTATGCCAGCATTATGTAGCAGACACAGAACTGACCTTGGGGCCAGGAAGACCTGGGTTCAGGTCCTACTTTGGACACATATTGGCTTGTGTGACTCAGCCAAGCCACTTACTTGTTAGTGTTCTGGGAAACTCTCTAAGACTGGACATTTCAGAGAAGGTGCTGAACTGCATTGGCAGTTAGTTCCTCAGAGGGAACTCCCTAAAATCACTGGTTCTGTCCCTATCCCTATCCCCATTTTACAGACAAGGAAGCTGAGAAGCAACTAGGTGGCATATTGGATAAAGTGCTGGGCTGGGTGGCAGAGACCTGAATGCCAAGTATTAGCTGGATGACCCTTGGCAAATAACCTCTCTCCACCTCAGTTTTGCCATCTGCAAAATAAGAGGGTTTAACTTAATGGTTTCTCAAGTTCCTTTCAGCTCTAAATTTATGGTCTATTACTCAGAGATGATAATTTTTTCAAGGTTAACCAGCTAAGTGTAAAGATCGAAGGCTCTTTCTGACTCAAAAGCTACTACTTTCCAAGACGCTGCAGCTGCCATGGTACCACGTCCAGTCTTTCCATACTACGTCCCTTTCTCCTTGGATTGTTGGAAAATTCTTGGAAAATTCTTTCTTTTGTCTATCTCAACAATATAACTGATCACTGAGGATCCCCTATAAGTAGTAGATCTGATGGATCATCACATTAAAAGGCCACTAGGATTATGGGGCCAACCCAAAAAGGGGGAAAGGGAAGGATATTGCAGGGATAGGGTTAGTGAGAAGAGAAAGGGCTTTTGCCCATCTTCTGTCTCCTTGGGATGAAGCTTTCACCTCTGCCCCAGCTCTGCTACTTTTGGATCTTCTACCTCCCTGCCCAGGACCCCCATCTTACATTTGTTCTCAGTCCCATCCAGTTCTAACATCAGGTTGTCCAGCTTCTCCTGCTCCACCACAGAAAGGCCCTGTGGAGAGACAGTCCTTTTTATTGCTGGGGCTGAGACAGGACAGGGAGGAGGAAAATAGGCTTTCTCCCCAGGACCAAATCCCTGTTCATTACACCCTGATTACCCCACTCCATTTGGAAACAATTTGCCATAGAGACTACTGGGGGGCAATTTGGGCATCCTCTGGTGGGATTAGTGAGTCCCAACCAAATTTTAGTAGGATCCTTCCCCGGGTCCCACATCCAAACAGACTGTCCAAGAGACAGAATGGTCCCTTTCCTCTGAATCCAACGAAAGCCTATGATACATCCCTCTTTCCCCCCAAGAAAGAGAAAAGCCTCACAGAACTGATCAGTGCAGGAGCAATGGTATTATTGATGTGATCCACGGCCTTCTGTACACCTGAGAAGAGGGAAGGAAGCCAGGACTAGGATTGAAGTCAGGAGGAAGAAAGGGGATTCCAGACAAAGAAAAGACCAAGGGTGTGGTGAGACAGACAAGTGGTCCAGGGGCCTGGGATGATATGGGAAACAGGGTGAGGGAAAGAGATGCTAGAAGGAGAAATGAAGGCACTAGTGAGACTATAAAGGGAGAAATAGGTAAAGGGGCCTCACCTTTGCCCAAGTAACGAAGTTTGTCCCCATCCCTCAGCTCCAGTGCCTCATAGATGCCAGTAGATGCCCCGCTGGGCACTGCTGCTCGGAAAAGACCTGAGAGCAGGAAGGAAGGAAGTGGCAGCATAGGAATTGGGAGTAGAGGGAGGATGCTACTTGGATGGGGATGTCTTCATTTTTTTCAGAGTCCCCACTCCCACCAGCATTTCTCCAGCCATGCCTAGAATCCCTAACTACACATAACATTTCCAAAACATAGAAACATAGGGAAACAGAGATACATAAGCCTGGAAACAAACACAGCTCTTGACTTGGATGACCAGGAACAAAACCCGTACCACCCCTACATAACCAGGAAAATACTATCCATGCATGGATACATCCCAGGACCCTCTTCCCTATGGGAATTCATCATCTGCAGGTGCCCACTCCACACAGTAACTGTGAACTCCAGATCAGTTCACTTCATTTGCCTCAACAGCCAGTGAATCCTCGTAAGGATTATATCTACGGTGGAGATTGACAGTGTTAGGATGGGAGACAACCCTGATAGGGGATTCAATCCTTATTCATTACCTTTGGCTATGTAGAGATCCACCTCCACTGTAGGGTTACCACGGGAATCCAGGATCTCCCGGGCATGGATGCGCTCAATTGACATGGTGGCTAGAATCTATCTACTGGTGGAGAAAAAGGGGAGGAGAGAAGTTAGATGCTGAAGGGGTGGGGCTAGTGTGGGAGGGGCAGAGAAAGGGAGAGACTGGGAGGAGGTCACTGCAGTAAGGGAGGAAAAAGCTGGCTGCAGTGAAGAGAAGGGAGAAATGGAAATGCCCCCATCCTGGGGAATGGGGAGGAAAAAAAGAAGGTCACTGCATCAGGAAAAAAAAAAAGGGACATGACTAGGGAAGAGGGGTCCTGCAGCGAGGGGAAGGAAGATATGGCTGCAGTGAGGAGGAGGAAAGGAAGAAGCACCCTCATGGTGAGGGTGGAAGGGAAGAAGGTCACTGCATAAAGAAAAAAGAGACATGATTTTGGGAGTTGGGGCCCTATAATGAGGAAAAGAGGCTTGGTGGAAAAGCATCCCATGGGAAATGTGGACCTCTCTCCCCCTCAATAGCACACTTACCAGCCAGCTGGGATTTCCCCAAGGTATACCTAGATTGGGAGTGGCCACCAAGCCAGCCTCTTCTCTGGATGCTAAGAAGAATGATGAGTAGCCAAGGTCTCCCCTCCCCCTAGAGATGCCAAAAGCCCCTTACTTGAACATCTATGACTCACATCCTTAGACTGTCAGTTCCCCCACCCTTTTCCCAGTAGCAAATCTCTCTCCAAGGTTCCTGCACACATATTTCTTCTACTCCCCCAAAACTGAGCATGACAGGGGAGGGGCAGAAGAGACATGGGAAGTCGGGGAATCAGATTCTAGTCTAGTGGGGGACTATGCTGTAGCTGAAAAGGTGGCAGAGTGCTAAGGCTGAGAAGGCAGTACCCATCCACACCTCCCCAGCAGACTGACATTCCCTGCATTGTCAAAAAATGAGGGAAGAAATGGGGAGAGGCGAGTGGGGAGGAGGAAGTTGAGTTAGGGAACGTGAGAGACTAGAAAGGGGCATCCCCAAAATGCAGAACCAAGGGATTGAGTCAAGATGGAAAGAAACAAAAATAGTAACATCAATAAAAATGAGGGTATTGATGAGAGTTAAGTTAAAAAGAGGTAGAAACGTAAAAGATCATGACACAGGTTATAAAGCAAGTATCGAAATTTTCAATCAGAGACAGCAATAGAAACACAGATGAGGTAAGCAAGTAGTTAGAAAATAGGGAGACATTTATAAAGGGTCATAGAGACTATACTGGGTGGGTGGGAAAGGGCTGGGCTTTGGGAGGAAGATGATGGAGCAGGTGCGCAGAGCCATCCTGGAAAGATGATGCGGGGATGCATGGCAGAAGAGGGACGAAGGACAGAGGAGAGATGGCTAAAAGGGGGCTGGGGTCTCACCTTCCTGCGGCAGAGCGGGCGGCAGCGCGGAGGGAACGGGAGCCAGGAGCAGGGCGTGGGCCGCTGCAGATCCCGGGCGGGCAGGCAGGCGGCAGAGAGCAGACCCGATAGGGCCTGCAAGATGCATGTGACCCGGAGCCCCGATGAGTCAGAAGGCGCCCGCTGAGCCGCACGTAGGAGCGGAGCTCAGGTGGGGGAGTCGGGAGTCGGGCGGGAGGACCAGGCTGAAGCAGAGGCGCGCGCGCACACACACACACACACACACACACGGATTCAGGCAGGGGCGCACATCTTTACTGACCCTGCCACGCACAGAGGACCTAGATTTTAACTGATACTGACACACTGGCGAAGAGACTGGATAATGCGGTGATATACACTCTGACAGTGACATCCAGTCACACAGACTGTCACACAACCTGGCAGACACTGACACAGTCACACAGAAACTCAGTGTTACACGCTCACACCGATGTACAAAAGTCACAGGGATGCCAGTGGCATGAATTTCTTTATTGGAAAAAGAAGCAATTCAACCCACCCAGGTCTGCTCCCGAGCACAGCTCTCCCCCCACCCCCATTTCTTTTACCAGACTAGTGTTTAAATTCCCCTAGGTCTGTCCCTTCCCCTTTCAGGTTTGCCTGGATCCTGTTAAGCTGACCGTTCTACCTCCCCCTCCCCCAATACCCCCACCAGTTCTGCTGAAAAAATAAAATAAAATAAAATAAAAGTAAAAAGCAAGGAATTCTCTCTAGGTCTTCCTTCCTTCCTTCCTCTGCTTTCTTTATCACTCCTTTCACAGATCCTGAGCTGAAGGTGCTTCCAACTCCTGGGATCCAGGGAGAGGAGGAATGAATGGGTCATCTTCCTCCAAGGATGGACTAAGGGTAGGGTCTTTCCAAGGGAAAGAAGAAAGTGATGAGGAGATCGGTATCACACACACTGGCGCCTTAGACCACAATTTCATCCACATCCTGTGGGGAGAGGGCAGAAGTTCAGATTTTCCTTCCTAGGCCCAGCTATGTTCCTGTTTCCCTTCCTGCTGTCTCTTCTTCTCATCCCTATCTGTATCCTTTCCTCTATCTTCGTGTGTCTTTCCCCCCTAAGTGTTCCACCCCTCCTTCCTCTCATCTGTCATTCTCTTCTCCAACCTCTGTTGCTGACCCCTCTTCTTCTCTCCTCCTCCCTCCCTTGCATGTCTTTCTCCCTCCCTCCTCTTTCATGGTTATTTTTAGTTTCAGATTTTTAATCCTAGTTTTTTTCCTCTCCTGGCTGCCTTCTTCACTAGGTCCAGCCATGTTCCTTTCTATTTCCCCCTGCTCCCATCCTCTCCCTCATCTTCTTTTTCTATTTACTCTTTGCCTACTAGTCTATATTTGCATAGGAATCTCCCCCAAATTCACTTTCCTGGTCTTCTTGGCTCCTCATTCCTACCTTTTACCCTAGCTCCCAAAGAATCAAAACAAGATTATAGAATTACGTGTGAAAAGAACTTTAGGGATCATTTAGTCCAACTCTTTCATTTTATAAATCAAGAAAGAGACCTAGAAAGGTTAAGGAATACGCCCTAAGAAGACTTATATGGTCTGATGCTGAGTGAAGTGAGCAGAACCAAGAGGACTTTGTATACAATAGCAGCCATGTTATGCAATGACTAAGAATGTTAAACTGAACCCTTCTCAGCATTACTAGGATCTAAGACATCTCCAGAGGCCTCGGGACGGAAAAATGCTTTCCACATCCAAAGAAAGAACTATGGAAGTCGAATTGCTCTCACTTATTTTTACCTTCAGTTGAGTTTTGTTTCATCTTTCTGATGGTTCCTCCTATTGGTTTTAATTTTTACTTACAACTTCACTAATGTGAAAATATGTTTAATGGGTATGTAAATGTAAAGCCTATGTCAGACTGTGCACCGTCTTGGGGGGGGGGGAGAAAAAGGGAAAAAAAAATTTTCAACTCAAAAGCATATGGAAAAAAAAATTTAAAAAAATAATTTTAAAAAAAATTAAAAAAAATCAGACCCCACGTCTGATTTGTTCCAATACCATACAGCTTTCTACTTTTCTTCTAGCAGCCTCAGACAAGCTTCCTGGAAATCTTCCCACCTCCCTCTCCCCTCAGGCTTTTGTATCTCTCAACTCTCATTTGCCCCTCACATAACCACTGGTGCTTCCTGCCCTCCTTCATTCCCCCATTCTGAGAGTCCAGATTCAAGTCCCTCTAAGGTTTTTCTTTGCCTAAGACCTCTTCTTTTCCTTTTTTTTTTTTTCCAAATCTCTACCCTGTTCTTCCCAAGGAACCACCCCGATAGCCCCATTTCCTTTACTCCTCCCCCTTTTTGAAGAACCACTTCCCCTAGATTTCTCAGTTACTTCCACTACAGCAGAAGTCTCTGGTACTCTGCCCCCATCCCATCCTTGCACCCACACCCTGTCCTTCCCTCTACCTCCTTATCTCCAAACTGATCCAGGTCCTGTTCCATGTCCTGCTCTTGCTCTTCCTTTAACCTCTGTCTGATTTCATCAGCCTCTGCCCGTTCTTCTTCCTCATAGAATTCCTTGTCCAGCCGTTCCAGTTGGGGTATCTGTATCAGGGCTTCTTGCCTATAGTCATTTTCATCTGTACATGGGTTCTCCAACAGGATCAGGGCCCGAAGTCGGGGCAAATCTTTCAGCTGACCCAATTCTGTTAGGTTTGTCACCATGTTCCCCCTGTAAAAGAGTTTAAAATAAATTTTTCTGTCTTCAGTCATATTATCTCTGAAGAGAGTAATTTTCCTATCATGTTATTCCCCTCCTTGATAAACTCCACTGGCAACCTTCTTCTTACAGGATCAAATACAAGCTTTTTTTCTTTTATATATTTTCTTTTCTTTTATTTGTATATTTGCATATTTGCTTTTATATTTAACACCCTTTTCACCCAACTCCAATCAATCTTTTCATTCATCCTTCCCTTTCATTAACACTACACTTCAGCCAAACTGACCAGTCTCTCAACTTACGATACTTTATCTGCTATGGTCTCTCTTCCTTTGTATAGGCTTCCCCCAGGCCTAGAATGGACTTCTTCATCCATTTCATAGAAGTCATAGTTTTGTTCAACTCGAATGCCACATCCCATCTGAAGCTTTTTTTTTTTTTGGGTGAGGCAATCAGGGTTAAGTGACTTGCTCAGGGTCATACAGCTAGTAAATGTCAAGTGTCTGAGGTCAGATTTTAACTCAAGTCCTCCCGACTCCAAGGCCAGAACTCTATCCACTGTGCCACCTCTCCAGCTAATGTTTTCCCCTAAAAATTACCTTAATTTTAGTATTTATTTTAGATATGCTTCTATACGTATATAAGTATATGCACGTTGTCTCCCCTGATCTTTAAGAGCAGAAACTGTTTTATTTTTGTTTTTGTATCACCAGCATCTAGCACTGTGACTGACATGGATTAGGCATGTAATAAAGGCTTGTTGATTTGACTATAGAGAGCAAAGAGCCATTTGTGGGCAGGCCAGATGGGAAAATGGTGAGTGGTAGAAACTATATTTTGTGCACTTCTCCAGGTGCTAAACAGTGGCTTCTCCAGACACTGGTCATTGGCTAGACATCCCGAAGATTTGCTGAACCTGCTATACAGATGCAGTCTCCTTCTACACCTGCTCCCACTTTTCTTTAGGATACTCCCATTTCCTTTAGCCCGACTACCATTACCCCTTGAAAGTTAAAGGGCTAGAGAGGAAAGATCTTAGGGAAGCAGAGGTGGAATTCAAGGAAAATCAAGGAGGTAAGGAGGCAGGAGATGATTTGGCAGAAAATTTGGGGCACAGGAGGCAGGGCAGCAGGATAAAGCCAATATTATTGTTTGTCCTTCATTTTTGAAGAGGACCAATGACACCATGGGGGGATGTCTCGACTTGCTCACAAACTGCATGTAAGTGAGGCAGGGCTGGGCAAAGTCTCACTCTGAGTCATTGAGTCCAGTGGCAAGCTGAAAGTCATGCTTCAGTGGCTTTTGTGGCCACTGGAACAAACTGTTCTCTTTTGCCCATTCCACAGGGGGAAGTCTTCACATGCTTGGGGTAGACATCCCCCTAACTCATCAATAGGTTTGAGGCCTATTGGTTACCTTTAATCTAGTTTAGTCCATCTTCTGAGACAGTTCCTGTATCAACATAGGGAAAGAGGGAAGGAAGAAGGAAGGAAGGTAGGAAAGGAGGAAGGGACAGAGGGGAGGGAGGAAAGGAAAGAAGGAAAAAAGGGAGGAAATAGGAAAAGAGGAAGGAAAGGAGGGAGGAAGGAAAGGAAGAAGGGAGAAAAGAAAGGAAGGAAGGAAAAGCAGGAAAGGAGGGAGGGAGGGAGGAAGGAAGGATTTATTAGATGCCTACTATGTGCTAGGCACTATGCAGTGCTTTATAGATATGATCTCATTTGATCCTCACACCAACCCTATTTTGCAATTAGGGAAACTGAGGCAGATAGAGGTTAAGTGATTTGCCCAGAGTCACATGTGTGTCTGAGGCCTGATTTAAACTCAGTTCTTCCTGACTTCCAGGTTCAGTGCTTCGTCCAATGTACCACCTAGATGCTCACAGAAGGGATTATTTCTGGGAAAGTGGAGAGGTGGGAGGGTGGGAATTAAGAGGTGGCCTTGGAGTCAGGAGGACCTGAGTTCAAATCCAGCCTCAGACCAAACACTTGACACTTACTAGCTGTGTGACTCTGGGCAAATCACTTAATTCCAATTGCCTAAAAATTAAAAAAAAATTAAATTAAAAAAAGAGGTGGAGAAAGATTTTTAAAGTCCCAGGCTGGGGAGATTTTGGGAATTTGGAGGGAGGAAAGAGTAAAGATCCAAAAGGAAGAGAAGGGACACAAAAGTACCATCAGATTGGATAAAAGTAGAAGGTAAAACAATGATCAGTGAATAGATTCAGTTTGGGTAAGAATCCAGGTGTAAAGTCAAAATCTGGGCCCAGATCCTGAAGATGGCAGAAGGTGAGGATGGGAGGGTGGCAAACGTACCGAAGATTGAGGTACTGCAGGGACTTCATTTCATGAGAGAAGCCACTCAGAGAACTGATCTGGTTGTCCCGAAGATGCAAAGTGGTGAGATAACTCAGTCCTTCAGTTCCTTCTATTGTGTTCACCTGGTTCTGGGCCTACACAGAACAGGCTGGTTAAAGACAGACAAACTGAAGGGGGTTCACAGACAGAAACATGTAAAGAAAGAAGAAAAACAACACAGAGAGACAGAGATAAAGGGGAAGAGGAGTAAAGAGAGGAAAAGGATGGCCAAAGGAGAGGAAGCCAAGGTGAACTGTTATCCCCAGAGAAAGCCAGGATCCTTTGGATTGGGCCACTAAGAAGGTACAGTTCCTCTTACTGTCCTTCTCCCCCAAATTCTCTTACTTAGAGAGTCCCATGACCAAAAGTCCTGGGTTTCTGCCTGAGGGAGAGCCATCAGAATGTCCCTACTGTGAACCATACACATATTGTAGGAATAGAAAACGGCAATCTGGATACCTGGGTTCCCTTCCCAACTCTGTAACCAAGGGCCACCACCCCAATGGATCAGGATCATTGATGTCATGGAAGTATGTCTTCCAAACCCTCTCAAGACCTATGACAGGGCCATGTTGAGGGTGAGGCAAACACAAAATGGTCCTGACAGAGGTTCAGATAGCCCTGTATCAACCATGCCATTCTCCCCTCAATCATAATACTAGTCATACAGTAAGACTCAGAGAGGATCTGTAATGTCCCCAAGGGAACACAAAGAGTTGGTCAGCACAGTTGTACTAGAACTTAGTCATGTTGCCTTCAGTGTGCTTTCTACCCAACCCTCAGAGGTTACCAAGAAGAGATTTTTCAGCTTGGGGAGATTGAGTCCCAGTGTACTCTCCAGCTGGTTCCCTCGGAGCTCTAGTGTGTGGAGGTTCACCAGCTTTTGGGGGTCCAGGCCTGTTATCTTCTTGATGTTGTTTCCTGAGGAAGGCAAATGTCAGGGTGCATTTGAAATGGTCGCGTAATATACAACACCTAACCCAGAATGCCACTTGACACAGCAAAGGAAGGAGTCTAGTCAAGCATACAACACAATGTTGTGGAGTGGAAAGAACCTTGGATTTTGAGTCAGAAGACCTGGGGTAAATCTCTGCTACCTCTCTAAGTCTCAGTTTCCCCATATGTAAAAGCAGGGGGTTAGCCTATGATGGCCTCTGAGGTCCCTTCCAGCTCTAAAGCTGTGAGACTATGACCTTGGCCCTGAGTCTCATCCATAAAATGAAGGGATTGGATTAGGTAATCTTTGTGGTGCTATGGTTTAGTGATATTACACCTCTGCCCACCCAGAGAACACCTTTGAGATCCAGGCTGCCCAATCTGGGATGGCTGATGCCTTCGGTGTCAGTGATTTGGTTGTAGGCAAAGCTGGCAATCTGCAAGTAGGGCAGCTCTGACATCCGAGCACTCTGGAGTCGGTTGTGGTCAACCTTGAGCCAGAGTAGGTGAGTCAGGTGGTTGAGTGGTGACAAGTCCGACAGCCGGTTTCCAGACAGATCCACATAACGGAGGTGGATGTAGGAGGACAGCAGAGAAATGTCAGTCAGTTCCCTGGACAATGGTGAAGGGAGGGAGGCCAGGGCTGCTGTTAGAATTAGGGACAGGGCATGACAGCTGGAGTGGGGAAGAAAGTAGCTGGAACTGGTTTGCAGAGGAGGAAGGGGGAAGAAGGCCAGAGGGAATGAGTTGGGGAGAACAATTCAATTCTATGCAAAAAAAAAAAAATTAAACATACTATTATGCAAGGCAGGAGGCAGTCTAGCCTACTGGATAGAGAGCAAGTCTGGTACCAGAAAGACCTGGGTTCAAGTTCTGCTTCTGACATATACTGACTGTGTGACCCAGAGCAGGTTGCTTAATCTTTCAGTGGTCTAGGTAGCTCTCTAAGAAGTTGCCAAGAAGAAGCGAAATTGCATTGGAGGAGGCAGTTCTTCTCCAGGGGCTCCCTCCACCAATGAAATTACAAGTCCTGTTCACATCCCTACGGCCGTATGCAAGGCACAGTGTTAAACCCAGTAATACAAAGGCAAAGAAATAATCCCTTCTCTCAAGTAATTTACATTCTACTGGAGTGACAGAACTCCTAGAAAAGTCAGTTCAAGGTATTTTGAGGAGGAATTGAGCATTTTCAACGGGGAGCAATCAGAGAAAGCTTCCCTGAGGAGGTGCTATTTAAGCTGAGCCTTGAAAGGAGATAAAGACTCCGAGCCAGGGTGAAGAGGGAGTTTATTCCAATGTAAAGAAGTCTGTGATGTAATATTGAGTTTGGGGAACAATCAGGTGTCTAGTTGTCTAGTATCTGCTGGGGCAAATGATGCATAAAGAGGAGTGATGTGAAACAAGGTTAGAAAGATAGGTTAGTGAAGTCTATATTTTATCCTAAAGGCGATTGAGTCGATGTGATTATGAAAGACAAAGTAAATTCAATAAGAGGGAGGGGATACCTCAAAGGAGAGCACAATGTGTTAGAGAGGGAGGAAACTACAGTGAGAAGGGGGTTAGGATACAGTAGAGAGTATAGAGTGGATAAATGATGGAAAGCAAGAAATAAAAGAGACAACAGGTGAAATGAGGATGGGGATAAGGGCTGCATCAAGGAAAGGCAAAGCTGGTGAAGTGAAAGAAGAGGGGATGCACTGGAGTGCAGGTAACAGGAGTCAGTATGAAGAAGGGAGAGTTAGGAAATCAGCACAGAAGGGAACGGTCCCTAGACCCCAGCTTTTCTTCCTGGCTTGCTTAGAAACAACTCTCAGTGACTAGCTCCACTATCCTCTTCTCACAGGACTAGAACAAGAGTGGTATAGCCCAAAAGCCAGAGAAACTTGGGGCAGGAGGGTAAGAGTGAAGATTTTGGTATTAACTGCAGCTCTTACAATGCACATCTGCTTCTCCCTTCCCCTTCAACACATACACACTCACTTATCTTTGGCCTCCAGCTTCACATAAGCATGGGAGAGTCCACTGCCTGTCTTGCAGAGCAAAGAGAGACCTTCCTTCATTGTGTCCTCTGTGATAGGATTGGGGATGAACTGAAAGAGGACATAGGGTCAAGTGTGCCTTTTTTTTTTCCACTCTCTAGACAGTCCTGCTCATCACTCTCCTGTTACTTCTCTTTAGAGTCCCTCCCTGCCTATGCCCTTACCTCTTCAGCTTCTTCCCCTCCCTCCTTCTCTTCCCCTTCTTCTGCCTCTTTATTCTCTTTTTCCTCCTCTGGTTCATCCTGGTCTGGATCATATTCTTCCAAGTCCTCATCATCAGACATCTTCCTTCCTGGGGCTGAGACTCCTTAGGGTGAAGGCTGGTTAAATCCTGGAAAGAAACACTGGTCCTGTGACTCTCCCACCTCCTCATTCTTTCTAAGACGCCATCTCATGCAGCTTCAGACCAAGGAGAAGCTCCATCTTAGGGGAGTGCTCAGGTGAGGTGAGTCCCATTGTGCCATTTCGTGAGCTTCCCATCTCCCCTCCAGTTTAAAGAGAGGTGGAGGGGAAAGCAACCGGTGCCTGGAGAAGGCATAATAGACCCCAACCCCTTGGTTTATTTCCACACATTTCTCTCTATCATCAGAACTCCCCCTCAATCGCTTTTTTCTCTGTTAGTGAATTCTCTGAAACTACTTAGTACTTCACTCCAAAGACCCTTTTTCTTCTCATGACTTCCTCCCCTCAACTCCCCCATCTCCCTCTTCAACTCTTTTACCCCTGTTGTCCCAGGGATCACACACACACACACACACCCTAGATCTGACTCGCAGATCCCTTAAATACTCCTCTTCCACCCCGAAAATACGTAAGAAGAACTTCAGAGTTGGGAGTAAGGGTCTGAAAGAAGGAGATGAAGGAGCAGTTGGTGGAGGGTCGGGTTGTTGCGAAGGGTCAGGTTGTTGCGAAAGTGGTGAGGATCTGTGTATTGCTACTATAGCAACGGGAACGAGCCGTTGCCGAGACTGTTGCTGGTGGCAACAGGCAAAAAACCGATGGGCAGCATCCAGGGAGGATTGCACCACAGCCGAGAAGGTGGATCCTCAGTTGCCTTGGTTATCGGTTATCTTCCCTCCCAATCCCTGGGATTCGGGTAGGGGGCGGGAGGTAAATGAGGGCGCTAATTGGCCAAGAGAAAAGGCTTCAGGAGATTCCGATAGGATGGAAAGGCAGAGGGAGGAGCTTCGAGACTAGCCATTACGTCACCCTAGTCCCTTAAAGAAGTAAGCTTTCAAAATAAAGGGTACTTAATTTAGACACTAAGCGGGAGGGGGCGGGGTAGAATGGATCTTAAGGTAAGAACATTTTAAAGCTGACCCCTAAAATAGATTTCTTCTCATCAATCAATCAATCATCTGTGAATTTCCAAATGAGGTTTGGGTGCGCTGGCTGGCTGGCTGGCTGGTGAAAGATACTCGGTTTAGTGAAAAGAGCATTGGGACTCCCAGCTCTGCCATTGTGAGGTTCTGGACCAAGCCCTCTCTTGACCTCAGGTTCTTTCCCTAAAAGAAGAAGATTGGACTAAATGATCTCTTAGGCTCCTTTCAGCTATCACAATCTATGCAGGATTAGGTTGTAAGGTACCCAGCTCCCCAGCTCCAACAGCCAACATTCTACAGATAGGTCCTATTCTTAACAAACATAACTGGGCCTGGGGTCATTTGGATGTAGTCACTACCCAATGCCCATTATATCAGTTTCAAACCTTTGAGAATATGAAGTATAAAGGGAAGAGGCTGAGAGGCAACTTATTCCTCATGTTATCCTTCTAATCATAGTATCAATTGAATTGCAAAATCTCACAGTTGGAAGGGACCTTAGTCCAACCCCAACCTGAAGAACAGCTCCCTTTACCGCACATTCCAGTCATATGGTGGTCATTCAGTTTCTGCCTGTATGCTTCAAGAGGTGAAGAGCTCTCAGCCTCTTGGGAGAGCCCTTTCTGCTTTGGAATTGTTTTAATTGTTACAAGGTGCTCCCTTAAACATAGCCCACAATTCTTAGCTCCATCCTCTCAGATCAAGTAAAATAAATCTAATCCCTCTTCTATTTCTCCCTAAAATATGTACTTTTCAAAGCTAAAACATCTCCATTTCCTTCAACTAATTCTTGTATGGGAAGGTCTCCAAGCTGTCACCATCCCAGTTACCTTTTATGGCCCTTTTATGGCTAGTGCATACAATTGGATACAATATAATGAAATCATAACATGTGATCTGGTGGGGCAGAGGACAGCAGAACTATTATTTTCCTTGTTTATGACACAATGATTTTACTAATGTCGCCTAAGATAGCATTACTTTTTTTAGTTACTTCAACACAGTTATATGTCATATTATATCTATGTGCTTGGAGATCTACTTAGGTCTTTTTCAAATGAACTATTATTCCCCTATCCTTTATGTAATTTTTTTCTTTTAAAAAGTTTTTTCTTGATATCTTTCGTTTTTGCATCATGTATATTTCCTAATATGTTCCTCCAAGAAAGCCATCTCTTTTAACAAAGAATAACAAAGTGGAAAAAAAACCCAGTTCAACTGGCTAGCCAATAATCAACCCATATGTCAATCTGACATTACATGCAGAGTTCCACAGACCTAGTCCCTCACCTCTGCAAAGAAAGAAGGAAAGTGTAGTATCTTTAGTTTTTCTTTGGGACAAGTTTGGTTATTATAATTTAATAGTATTTAGTTTCTCTTGTTATTTGTGCCATTGACTTTGCACAGCTCTCCCTCACTTAAAACCAATTCACTTGCGTATCATGGCATCACCTTCCTGATGTCGAGATTTTCTTTGAGGAAGAACAAACAGCAGCAATCCATTGACAATGTTGCAGTAAAACTGCGGATGGTGTTCTCCTGCGTTGCTCACCTCACTTTACAGGAGTTCATGTCTTCCCATACTTTTCTTTATTGGTCATATTATTTCTTGCAGCCCAGTAACATTACATTACATTTGTGTGCCACAATTTGTTTAACCATTCCCTAATCAGTCAGTATCTGCTTTGTTTCCAGTTGTCCTACAAAGGTGTTGCTATGCATATTTTGGTGCATATGGGACATTTCTTTTGATCATTAACAGTCTTGGGAGTCTCTGCAGAGAAATGGGATGTCTGAGTCGTAGGATATGGACATTTTAGTAATTTTCTTAGCACAATTTCCATTTTCTTGCCAGAATGGTCAGATGAGTTTCCAGCTCTATTAATGGTGCATTAGTGTGCTTATCTTAAAAACGATTATTTTTAAAATTCTGAGCTTAAGCACCAATAGAACATTTCTCTGCATACCACAGAACCCAAACAGAAGATTCTCTATGAAACCTGGACTCTCCATTTCATTTCTTGCTTTTTTAAAATATATGAAGTCAATGTATTATTTTCAAAATTGTTCTGCTTATCTTAACTTCCTTATGAACTTCCCTTTGCACATTTTAGAAAATATTTCAATGGCCCTTCTTTTTTGGCATCACCATTGCTAACTCCATTCCCCACATGACTCTCTCACCTCTCCCCCCCCCCATTAAACACAAAGAAATAAAAGAAGAAAAAAACCTTTGTGACTAGGAAACATAGTCAAGCAAAATGAATCCATACAATGGACATGTCTAAAAATGAGGTAGCTAGGTAGCATAGTAGGGCAGCTATGTGGCATAATGGATGGAGCACTGGCCCTGAAATCAGGAAGACCCAAGCTCAAATCTGGCCTCAGACACTTACTAGGTGTGTGACCCCGAGCAGGTCACTTAAGGTGTTGTCTTTACGTTATTATTGTTATATGTAACCTGAGCCCTCAAACCCATACATTCCCCATCCTCAGCTTGCTATACTAGAGACTTTGGATGATTTTCCCCTTGGTGAGATTTGGAACTCTTTCTCAGTTAAGCTGAGATATCCTTAGGAGCTCTGGCCTTGGAGTCAGGAAGACCTGAGTTCAAATCTGGCCTCAGACACTTGACACTTACTAGCTGTGTGACCCTGGGCCAGTCACTTAACCCAGATTGCCTCACTAAAAATTAAAAAAAAAAAAGCTGAGATATCTTGTTCCCAATGGGAGAGATCTTCAGTTGGTATTGTCTGGTATATATTCTCATATGTATACTTTCTCTGATTTGTGTTTTGCTATCAACTTGGATAAATGGTTTTTCTTTGCTACGTATATTCATTGTAGAACTGGTATTTAGCAGGAACAAAGTCAAACCTTGGATAAAAGGCCTGGGACCCCAATTTCCCCATGAATGACTAGTGACTTCTTGATGTAGCTTCAACCTTAAAGGTACTTCCCCTTGACTAACAATATTTAAAGGTACATATAGAATTCTAGCCTGGTACCCCTTATCTCTGAGAAGAGCAGAGTAACCAACCCCTGGCCAAACCTCCTGCTTCCCTTCCTGGTAGGAATTAAAGTCTCCCTTGGAGAAGGGTGGGGGAAGGAAATACTACAGATATCTATTCTCTCTCTCTCTCTCTCTCTCTCTCTCTCTCTCTCTCTCTCTCTCTCTCTCTCTCACACACACACACACACACACACACACACATCCTTCCTTTTGTTACATATGCATTGTTCTAGTTCTGCTCACTTTAATCTTCATCAATTCATACAAGTCTTCCTGGGTTTCTCTGAACCCTTAGTTTTGCTTTACAAACTTAGCTTTGTAGGATGAGTTATTCTTGGTTATAAGCCTGTCCTTTTTGTCTTTTGGAAGACTATATTACAAGATTTTTCTCACATATAGTAGAAGCTGCCAAGTTCTTTGTTCCTGACTGTGGTTTCTTGGTTCTTGAAATGCTTTAGAGGGAGCTTTATAGTTTGGCTATGACATTTATGGTATTTCTTTTAGAATTTCTTTCAGGAAGTGATCTGTGGATTCTTTTTATTTTCACTTTGCTCTCTGTGGATCTAGGAAGTTTTCATTTATGATTTCTTGAAATATAATACCATGTTCTTTCTTTTCTTTTAATCAT